AGCATGGAGCACATAAAAATCTATAAATTTCAATCAGATTTTTTAGAAAGCTTAACCTCATTTCACTTAAGAAAAAAACTAAGCGTCATGTTTTTAAATTCTTATTTCGTATGATTTTAATGGCAGTAGTATTATGTACGTTAATACAGGGGTCTACAAATCATGGTTGTCAAAGTGCCTAAAAAAATCATAGCTGGTAAAAAAACATCAGAATATTTTAAAACTGTTGGCTACTGAAACTTGGACCTCATTCCTAGAATTTTTACATTTTCGTACACATACCAATTCAAAATATACAAACATACAAACAAAAAAATAATAATAGTAATGCTAAAAAAATTTTTAAGTTGAAGCAGAAAAAATATGAGGAGCTACATTATAGAGAATTAGACTATCTTTAATTAAAATTGAATAAAAAACTGAAAACTATCCAAAAATACATGCATTTTAACGAAAACATTGTAAAGATTTGAAGGTTTGCAAGTGCTGCCAGTTACAGAAATTTGTATTGATCAAAAAAATATAACATATAAAACACTACAAATTTTCAAAATGTAAAATAACAATAAAAAAGAATTTATCAAAAAGTTCAGGGAGCTGATTCCCCAGATAACATAAAGTTAATAATCATAAAGTCTAGTGGAATCATTTTCAATGATTCCACTAGACTTTAAAAATTACAAGTTCATAAATCCAGAGCTTTCAACTTTTTGGGTCCCTTTTTACTAAAAGCAGGATCCTATCTTTTTCTTTTTTTTTAATTTTATTTAAACGACTTAAAACTCCTCATGCACCACAAAGCACAGCATGAGGCTTACAGTTGTAAGTAGAAAACAAAAAGAAGAAAAATTTACAAATTTATATTAAAAACAAAATTCCGCAAGGCCGCAAGACTTTCAATACTTTTGACCAGTTCTGATAAGACAGGTGGCCAACAAATAGAAAGACGTCTCAAATCAGTCTTTAAATTCATTCGGGCACTCGCATACAGACTACAATGAAGAAGAATATGTTCAGCATCACCGCAAGCACAAATTCCACTGGTCTGCAGATGGAAACGAAATAAATATCTCTTAAAATTTCCATGGTTTGTTAAAATTTGGGTCAATTTAAAATCAGCTGCAAAGAATTTACATTGCAAACGGTGAAAAATGGATGGAAAGAACCTTTTTGTCCAAAGCGACCGAGGCGAAGCAAGAAATTCAGCATTCCAGTCCGCAGGATCCTATTTAAATATAAATTCTCTAACACTTAATCTATTAATGTGGATATTAATAATTATTTTATCTATTGATAAGCAAAACAAAAAATTTCACAACAAAAAAGTCGCACTTAGGTTATCAAGACTTTTAATTAAAAGGCAAATCAATCACCTGCATCAAGGAAAAGCAATAATGTAATTTGGAGGTCCAATTTTTTCCTTCAGCTACTAATAAATAAAAGGATATTAATAGATATATTCAAAGTTTAGATACAAATTTGCCTGCATCACTATCGGTCAAAAGTTTGCAAAAATTTTGAAATCTACAAAGAAAAGATCTAAATTCAAATGCTCATAGAACTGCGAAAAATCATTCAAATTGCATTAAAAATTTGATATGTTCTAAAGTGAACCCTCTACAGTTAGTTACATATTATCAAATTGCAATACTATGTTTTTTGCAGCCTGAATCCAGCTTTTCATCATGGGTTGTTTTCATTGTGAAAAAATTTGTTAAGTTAGAACACTTGCCAAACTTGCAACAAAAAAAATTTGTACTTTCTGTTAATGGAAAATAGTTATTTGAACTGTTCTATGTAAGCCCTCAAAATTTCAGATCGATTTGAGTTTTTTTGACGCAGTTATAGAATTTTGAAAAACGTGTACTTTTCTCGATTTTTGAGCATTCCATATATGCAGTCTTTTGGTCTATAGATCTTCTACCAACGAACTTTTTAATTTTAATGTTTTCTATATTGTCAAACAATTAATATTTATTATAAAACAAATATTCTTATTCATTATTGTAATTATTGTTATTACAAAGAATTTATTATGAATATAATTAAAAAAATACCTCATAGATGTCACTGTACACGATTGTACACAATGCACTGGTTCATTGAATACTAGAAGTTTAACAAACAATACTTTATTTAACAATTGTAAATAATCAAACCAAAATTGTTGCACTATTGCAATGGTAGACACGACTGGCTCAAACAAGAGCTCAAGAGCAACTGACTAGTTTGAAACAATTACAACAGTAGGCGTTTCGCTTAAGACCGAACAGTCACATTGCATCGAAAATTAGTTTGTTCTTGCAAACGAAACAATGTTTATTGTTAATTTGAGGAATGTACTATAAAATTTCATTGACTAATTTTTTACTATTAGATTATTTTATTTGAAGCAACGTTATAAATATGTCTCCTAGAAAAGAAACATCAACTGAAAAACGTGCAGCTATAGTATCTTTAAGAAAAGTAGGTCACACAATAGACAAAATTGCTGCATTAGAAAACGTTTCATTAGCATGCATTCATTCTACAATTAAAAGGTTCAATGAAACAGGACTCTACGTTGATCATACACATTCCGGAAGGCTAAAGATGACATGATTACATCAAATCGAGATGATCGAAATATTATTGTTACAAGTTTAAAAAATAGATTCGATACACCTGCACAACTGAAGTGTAAATTATTCCCAGGTTCAGAAAAAGTTTCAATTTCAACAATAAAATGGCGTTTGAGTAAAGCTGGCTTTTTCGGACGTGTCGCAGCAAAGAAACCTCTTCTTAGACCCAAAAATAAAATACTACGATTAGAATGGGCTCGCAAACATCAGCATTGGTCAATCGGTCAATCACAGATAGAAAAAGTGTATTATGGACTGATGAATCAAAATTTGACATTTTTAGGACCAAACGTCGCATGTTTGTAAGACGTCGTGAAGGAGAACAAATGCAACCAAATTGCATTCGACCAACGGTTAAACACGGAGGGGGTAGCATAATGGTTTGGGGATGTTTTGGAAAGGATACTGTAGGAGATTTAATTAAAATAGATGGAATAATAGACCAAAATAAGTACCATTCTATTTTGCAACGTCATGCTATTCCTTCGGGTGAAAAAGTTGTCGGTCCAAATTTTGTATTTGAGCAAGATCCCAAGCACACGTCAAAATTATGCAAAAATTACTTTTAAAAAACAGAAAACGAAGGTCGATTGAAAATTATGACGTGGCCAGCTCAGAGTCCTGATTGTAGCCCGATTGAACTTTTATGGGATCATTTGGATCGACAAATTCGATGCTCTGATATTTCGAATCTAAATCAGTTATAAGACATTTTACAACAGGAATGGAAATCTATATCACTTGAAGTGATTAATGGTTTGTGTAAAGCATATGTAAAGCTACTATAAAAGCAAAAGGTGGATGGTTCGAGGAATCTAAGATTTAAATGATAATTTATTTAATTACAAAATACGAATAAGAATATGTTAAATATTTGACCTGTTGTAAATAAAATAGTTTAATAAAAATGCAAATTTTTTATACTATTGTTATTATTTTTTTAGAATTATTTATGTAATTATTGTTATAACTTTTTAATTTAATTTAATATAAAGTAAAAATATCACAACAAAACTAATACAGGTAAGCAATAAATATAAACAATAAATATAAACAATAATAATTACAATAATGAATAAGAGTATTTGTTTTATGATAAATATTAATTATTTGAAAATATAGAAACATAAAAATTAAAAAGTTCTTTGATAGAAGATGTATAGACCAGAAGACTGCATATGTGGAATGCTCAAAAATCGAGAGAAGTACACATGTTTTTCAAAATTCTATAACTTCGTCAAAAAAAATCGAATCGATTTGAAATTTTGAGGGCTTACATAGAACTGTTCAAATAACTATTTTCTATTAACAGAAAGTACAAAAATTTTTTTTTGCAAGTTTGGCAAGTGTTCAAACTTAACAACTTTTTTCACCATAGAAACAACCCATGATGAAAAGCTGGATTCAGTTCGCAAAAAACAAAGTATTGCAATTTGATCATATGTAACTAACTGTAGAGGGTTCACTTTAGAACATATCAAATTTTCATGCAATTTGAATGATTTTTCGCAGTTCTATGAACATTTGAATTTAGACCTTTTCTTTGTAGATTTCAAAATTTTCGCAAACTTTTGCAAGTTTGGCAAGTGTTCAAACTTAACAAATTTTTTCACCATAAAAACAACCCATAATGAAAAGCTGGATTCAGATCGTAAAAAACAAGGTATTGCAATTTGATCATATGTAACTAACTGTAGAGGGTTCACTTTAGAACATATAAAATTTTCATGCAATTTGAATGATTTTTCACAGTTCTATGAATTTAGACCTTTTCTTTGTAGATTTCAAAATTTTCGCAAACTTTTGAACGGTAGTGTATATGCAGACAAATTTCCCTTTTCACACTGTATAATGACACCTCCTAGAAATACATAACTTATTTTACACATCCCTTTTATGATACTTGGCATAAGTAAGACTGTAAGCAAAATCCCTGATTTTATAATTTAAAAATAATAATTAACTTCGGTGATATTTACAAATTCTTTTTAAAGACAACAATGTTAATAAGAATAGGAGTTTTTTATGCAGTTCAACTTTTTGATGCTTGATAAATCATCATTAATTTATAACAAAATAGAATTCATAAATAGAATTCATGGGTCACTTAAATTTATAAATGCAAATGTTTAAAAATTTGACATTCAGAAAACTATATTTAATTTTACAGGATGCTGCCTTTATATAAGAAGCTTTAAGTAAATTAATGACTAAAATCCTTAAAATTTTGCAAGCAGTTGTTGGCATGCAAACAACTATCAATTTTTATAACCTTAAAATGTTTCAGCAGTTACAAGTGTGAAAAATTTTTACAGTGCAAAATAATAAAACCATGTACTGAAGCAAATTAACATTCAGAAATAAACAAATATAAAATACCTATCACAAAATGTATAGACATGAATAGTAGCAATTTTCAATTAAATAAATAATCACTTTCCCTTTCACCTAATCCATTGCTTCAAAATAATGCAGTCTGTTCCGACTATTCAGATACCAGCTGTAAGAGAAAAAATGTTTTCAAGTAAAGGAAACACACACACACACATATATATATATATAATTATTTCAGTGGCTTATATGCGTGTGTTTGCTTATATATATAGTACGATAAATAAATACAAAAAAGACAAAAAGAAAATCAACTGCAAGCACATATAGAACTCATAAAATAAGTTCCAAAAAAAGAGAAAACATGGGAAAAAAACACAGAATAATGAAAAAAGAGAATTAAAAAAAATTAAATTAAATTAAAAAATAAATAATTTAATAAAAATCCGGAAAAAAAGCATAATCTCTTTATTAGCTCACACGATTATATACGCAAAAAGGAGTGTTTTCTAATATTGTATCAATAGAGCCAAAGCAAAATATATCCATACAATAGAATGAGAACTCAAAAAAAATTAAAGCAAAATAGAATCGAACACGTCAAGTAATAAAAATAAAAGAAATTTTTTTCTATTTAATTATTTTTCATATTTTTTTTTCATTATTCTGCAATTTTTTCCGTGTTCTCTTTACTTTTCGAACTTTACATATATACATAAAAGTCAGTATAATTTTCACTTTATTTAACTTTTGTTTAATTTCTCAAGATAGAGTATTCAGACTAACAGTAATTGTTTTGTTTCAGTTTAAAAGGATAGATTTCATTTAAGCTCTCTCAAACATTGTGTTCATTGCATTTATCTCAATTTTGTATTCACTAATATAACTTAAGTAATTTGAAAATCTGAGAAAAAATGTTCGATTCAGTTTCATTGATAGATATAATTGGCACATCCAAAGGATTGTTTTAGAAATTAAACACCACACATAATGGGTACATTATATTACTCATATAATTTATACCTTGCAAACTAATGTCAATTTTCATATAGGAATCATTTATAATTGATTAAAAGTATTGTAACAATAAAGATTCTATTTAGGAAAGAAACTGAACTTTAAAATGCTGATGCGTTCACATGACTATTTTTTATTTAGAGAACATTACTTTGTAAGAGTCAAAAATAAGAAAAACTGCTAGAATAATAAAAGTCATAGAATGCTTAAAAGTATTTCTATTATGTTTTCATATACTAGAAAAAAATGCAAGTGTAGGTTAAAATTAGACAATAAAATTAACTAATCATAGAAATATTATTCTATAGCAGATAAAAGTAATTTTTGCCTAACAAGGCAATTTTAAACTATGATAGTTTTGCTCCATATTTGACTTAGACAAAGCTTAAACTATAACAAAGTTTAATAGTCTATAATTTAAAAACATCTGTACCATATTCGTGAAAAATCTGACCCTTGCTTAGTTTTATAATTGAATACGGCTCATGTCAGCAAGTACATAAATGCAATGTTTTGATTTATCAAAATGAGTAAAAAAAAAATTCAAAACTTTTTAATATTTTTATTTTGATAAAGTCTGTTACAGGATCACATATAAAAAAAATTTCTTTACACTAAGTTTTTGTTCATAAAGAGTTTTACTCAATTGATAAAATTCTAACTATAAAAAGGTCAAATTTGGTAGCTTTAATCTATAAACAACAACCAAACTCTGTTGATGATGTCATGGAATGTCAACAAGACACGCTCCTGTTCATACTGGTGAAAAACCTCATTCTAATCAAATTCCATATGATAATCAAAAAATTCACACTATAAAGTTATTCTAATAAAAATGTCACTATAAATTTATATGCTATTTACAGCAATGCATTTTAAAGTTTTTATTTGAATAATATACAAAATGTTTCCTAAAGATCAAACACAGTTGCTTTACATTAGTTTTTAATTCTTATGATAGTTTGACTCAATATTTGACTATGAACAATATTACTACAACACCAAAGTTATGCTAAGATAATTGAAGAGTAATCTGAGGATGACATCCTGGATTAAAGTTCTTGTACACCGAAGAAAACCATATTTTCGCCACATCACTATATAATTCATCTATAATTTGTGTAAACAAATAAAATCTAAGTTTGAAAACAAAATATATATACATATACTTTAATACTTCTTCAGTCAGATAAATATGACGTCCGCAAAACCATTATTTGCAGTTGATTCACATAAAGTATTAACTTATGTTAGTTTCATTCAATTTGTAATTGAAAGAAAGTTCTACTATGACATTAAAGTTTGCTATAATTTAATAAAATATCCTGACTAAACAACTGGATTCTGGTGATGCCAAAAGATTCACAATCTCGTTCATACTGGTGAAAAACCTTATTCTTACACAAGATAATTTTTTGCTTACTCTTTTAATATTTAAACAAGTTTTCATTTTGGTAAATATAACCTTTGTTATAAGTTCATAAACAAGGTTACTTTTCGGGAATTTTTAGCCCACATGATAGATAGTTGAAGAAAATTCCACAATATAAGGTTCATGGTTGTTGTAATTCGAAAACAACCCTCTTTTGATGACATAGAATTCAGTCATGTTTATGCTGATGAAAAGTTTTATTCTTGTCTAACGCTATATTTCTCATAACTTTGAGTTAGGTTTACACAGTAAAATTATCAGTTTGTATTCATTTAGTAGAGTCAATTTTATTTGTCGATAATGGATAAAGCATTGACCGAAGTCACGACATTTCCCATGTAGGATAAGTAGTTCACATAATTTATAATTAGGTGAAGATAACAAATTGCTGCTCAAATTATAGAAATCATAAAAACACTAGGAACATAGAAATATGTATTTCTTCAAAAAGTTTAAATCAAAAATTTAAATCTGATCATGAAATATAGAGCAGAACATGATTCGGCAGATCATGAAAGCTATTGCCATCGTGTATCAATAACAATGTAAAACTTTCTGCAAATAAAATTTTATCGACATTATTATGCCACTAAGCAAGGTTTAGCCTTGCACTAAGGCTCTGAATTCGCGATCGCAACAAACTATAGGTGGCGTTGTTGCAAGAGATGAATACCTGCAATTCTATATCAGCAGTCATTGGAGACGTCTTTAATGTAGAGTGTAGCATTGTAACGTTCCTTCTTTTGTGACTTATTAAATTTGAAAATGAAAAATGTTTGATATTCTTTCTTATGTAAGCGAAAACAAAATTTTATCTCGCTTTTTTAGAGAAGGAACATCCAAAACACATGGGAAAAATATTTGCAAATAAACAGAAAACAAATATGTATCTTCTTATTAGAGTTAAAACCTAATGCCTGCCAAATCGTTTTACTAAATTTAATAATATAACATGAAATCCATATTTAAACTATATATTCACATGTTTTATGAATCATATTACTTGAAACATTAAAATATGAAAAAAAAAGTATACATAAGCCCATAATTTTATACCATTTAAAATTTGAAAATAAGTTTCTTGACAACAATTTTTATCAAGAAATTTTCAAGCATCAATAAAAATCATTATTTATAAACTAAAAAACTTAAAATAAAGAATGCTTACGAGAAAGAAAACGATTTTAAAAATTCCTCAAATTAAAATAAAAAACTTTCATGTTTTTTTTTTAAATTCTTAATCGGACGTAGAAAACCATCCTATAGAGAACCATCATCAAATCAGAAAAAAATTATTGACAACTATATTTTTATTATGAAAATCATAACACTTACAGAACTATATTTATAATAATCCAGTCTTCAGATCCGATGCCCGGTGGCTGAATAGTAGTGCTTCGCGCTCTCGTGCCACAGGTCCTGGGTTCGATCCTCGGGCCGAGCAAGGTAGACTCAGCCTTTCCTCCCTTCAGTGGGTTTATAAATAAGTACCAAGCATGCTTGGGAACAAAACACTTCAGTGTTTAGTTCCCAAGTATGGGGGTTTCCGCGTTCGGCTGACCATCTGACCGGAACATCTGTTCCTCCAGCACAGAGCCTAAGGTCAAGAAAACTGAGATGGGCACAGTAGGCCTTGAACCTCTATGGGCTGTCGCGCCACTGAGTTTAGTTTTTTTAGTTTTCAGTTCCATAAAGTTTCCTAACTTTAAAATGCTTAAATCTGTTTGGAAATTAAGACAGAAACTAACGTACTTCTTTCTCTTACAATTATTTACACGCTATATTGATGAAAGCACACAATGGATTGCAGTAGATGGAGAACTGAGCTCTGCTTTACCTGTAGACAATTCGATAACAAATACTTCGAATTCAGGACGGAGAACTTGATATAATTTCCTTTTTTTGTATTAAAAAAATATTAAACTTGAGTTTTCTTAAAATAGTGTATTTTTAATGTAAGCAAATTTTGATGTAATGTAAGCAAATGTTCATAGAAACATTTGCAGCCCCTTTAATTATTCATTTACTATTTTTAAAACAGATTTTTTTTAATTAGTATCCCATGCTGCCTTAGCTTCCCATACAACTTTTACTCGTATTTTATGCGTTTATGTCATGTCCAGCATGCTGGACATAAACACTGCAGTGGATTGATTGGAAAGACACGGTTCCCAGTAGAACACCGAAGTCAAGCATTATACTGTCTGCGGTGGCCACTGTGATCAGGGATCGTAAAGACAGAGAGTACGCGGTATCGATTTTCATTTGTATGGGAATGTACTATACTTTCCTTACTCTAATTATTTTTCAAATTTAATTGCCAAAAACATTTTTTAAAATTTCAACGACAATTTCGTTAAAAAAATATGTTAAATGTAGCTTTTAGTTGCATACAATTTCTTAACTTAAAAGTTTTTAATAACTTTAAAGTTCAAGATAGAAACTAACGTACTTTTCCTTTGACTATCCACACGGTAATGGTGAAGGGACGCGAAGTGTTGCCATAGATAGAGAGAGAGTTTTGCTCTAAACCATTTGTAGCCTATTTTGATCATCAATATTCGAAATAAAATATGATTTTTTATTCTCAATATTATTGCATGGGAAATAAAATTTTTTGTTCTCAATTAAAATTTTTCTCAGTAAAATTTTGCTTCCTTAAGGCAATAACTAATATAAAAAACAATGGTCTGGTTTTTAGAAGCTATTATTATTATTTTTTTTAATATAATTCTTAGTATAAAATTAGCCGTGCCAAAACTTATTTGAAGAGACCGTGTTACAGGTAATGAAAATTTTACGGGGTACCAGGCATACTCTATTAATTAAAAAGTAATTTTCGTTCAATTTATTTTAATTTAAAATTTTTGAATCCTAGGCGAAAGGAATTTTTTTTTATATATAAATATATTGTCCTGTTAGAATCGATATATAGAAGATTTAAAAGTCTCTTGAATATGAACTTGCAAGCATATAATTATTTTGCATGATTTCGGTATTTTTCATTATTTTTTTATTAATATTAATTCAGTGCATATCATAATAGTAATTTTTGTACGTTTACCTGTTTTTGTTTTAAATATAAATTTACAATGTCTAAATTTGAAACAATTACCAGAATGAATCATATTTACTTTTCAAAACAACATTTCAAATTATAACATCATTCACACTGGACAAGATTTTTTCGCTAGCTAAAATAATCGGTGGTGAATATTAGTGGAAAATATTCATCCTAAAAAAAAACTGGTTCTAATCAGGTTTTCGTCCTTTTGTTCTCTAGTCATGCGAATGCGAACCTGATTTGTCCCGCAGTGGCCAGATCGTTAAGACACGGTTCCCCATCAGATCACCGAATCAGTCTGCGTTGGGACCGAGGGTGTGCGGTATTGGTCCTCGTTAAACTGTGCTACCGTAAAGTACTCGACTTCACGTGCAGGTCGTCGGGCTACTGAAGCGGGGTTACCATCTCTTCTGCAGAGGATCAAAATTTTGATGGCATGTCTTCGGATCGTCCTCAGGGATGTTTCCCAGACCGTCGCCAATAGCCCATTGTGCAGCTCTAGTGCGACGTAAATGAACTGCAACAACAGCAACAGCGAACCTGTTTCAGGAAAATATTTGTGCACCAATCAGGTTCTCGTTCACATGCGAAAAAAATTACTTTAAGTGAAGAGTTAAGTTAAGAGAATATAGCAAATTTAGCAATGAAAAGCTAAAAACGAAATCTGAATTTTACAGAAATAAGCAGCATTAGGCTCATTTGTGAAATGTAAATAAGAGTTCAATTATATAAAGAGCAGATTTTTCGTTAAAAGAATTTCTATTAATAATTTTTTTCTTTTCTTTTCACTATATAAAATTCATTAAAGTTTATTTCAAAGGTTTAAAAGTTTTCCAACTTTTATATGGATGCAATATTTGAATCGACACTTTATACTGCCCTTAGAATTGATGGGAACAATATTTGTGATTATCTAGAGAGCGTAACAAATTTATTAGCTGAATTTTCATGGGTGTACAACTTTAGAAATATAGATATTTTTATCTATGATGTCTTAGAAAAAATTCCCGCTGATGTAAGATACCTTATTCTTGTGTTCTTCATGATTAGAAATTTCTTTCTTAAAACTCCCTCTTCAATGTTTTTAAAAACTACATATTTGTCCTCTCTTATACAAAAATGACGTAATTATAATCACTTGATTTAAATCCAGTTTTAAATAACTTTTTTTTTCTTTAAATCAGCTGATATTTTAAAAACGTTAATGAAAATCGAAAATATTTTCTTAACCTTATAATTTATGAATATATATTTGAAGTCTAATTTCATTGATAATGAAGGTCATATCTAAGAAATAATGAAAGTGGATGCATGCAAATTATTATCATCTGGTGTTCAATATAGAAATAAATAAATGAATAAAAAATAAAATAAAACTGTAAGTGGCAAGTAATTAATGTAAATAAATAATAATTAATGTAAATAAATAATAAAATTTATGATGTAGCACGGTTCATGAGGGTGTTCAGTTTGTATAAAAATTAATATGATTTTATTTATTCAGTGGTTGGTTTGTGTTGTAACTGAGTACTTAATAATTTTAACCATTTTTGTTATAAACACTAAATATTTTAGCTAACAATAATATTAAGTAAGCTTAAAATAATATTAAACATCATTTATGTATTTTATCAGAGCTTCTGTTTGTAAATGTAAGAAGAAAAAAAAGAAAAAAAAACTGATTAATATATAAAATCTGATATAAATAATAAAAATTTGATATGTATGTAATACAAAAATTAAATACTTTTGTATTAATAAAAGCATTAAAACTTCATTCCTTTTTTTTTTTTTTTTTTTTTTTTTTCTCACAACATCTTGATTAGGACTTTCGCACACTTGATTAGGACTTTTTAAAACACTAATCGCACACTTCATTGTTTCTGAGGGCACTAACAGGCATTGTAAACACAAACGTTTTCATGGCTGTCACAGTCTCAGGCAAAATCGAACGATCTGTCTCCAAGCGAAGCATTCTGGTACCGTAAATTCACCGATGAAGCAATTTTTCTCCCGGGTGGGTGAGGAATCCTTCTCGACGAGGTAGCGGTCACGTTAGGCCAAGTCCCACGAGATAGTATTGCACAAAAATTTTCTTTCAAGGGGTTTCCTGCACAAAGCAAACATCCTGCGAGGCTTCTAATGATTTTTTAGTAAATTAGTATTGAGAGCAACATGATTGAAGAGTCCAGTTGTGCATAATCTTCTTTTATTAAGTTGCGATGGTGAAATAGCAGTTTAACCCCTCTCCAAAGCGGGAGAGGGGGGACACATATCCCGTCTAAGCTGACGGATTTTTATTAGGCATGATAATCAACAAAAAGCCACGCCAAAATTAGCGCTCTGCATTTTATAGGATGATTAAACAGTGTGAAGAGGTCCCAGTCATATGCTTTTTCTGTATTCTTACGCCTCATCAAATTTATTTATTACTCAAAGCAAATCGTTTAATCTTTCCTTATATGGAAGTGAAAGATCTTAAAATAACTTCTCTTTTGAAGTATTAATCTAATTATTATTCATTGGCATGTTTTTAGCCTTGAAGTCCCAAAATAGAATTTCTACCCTTATCCTTTACTAAAGATATTTAATGAAAAGGAATGAAGTTTTAATGCTTTTATTAATACAAAAGTATTTAATTTTTGTATTACATGTATATATATATATTTTTTGTTCTTTTGAAGAATCATAATTTTTGTCTACCTACCCCTGTTATTACCTACCTAAACACTTCCTATAAATCTTCATAAAAAAAAAATCCTTATAACTTACTTTACTGCTACTTTTATATGTGATGCAGTCTGCTTACGAGTTTTAGTTCTATATCATTTGTATTTACATTATTTACTTATTTATTTATTATAATTATTTTTTTGTAGCTTGAAGGTTGTATAAGATAATTTTCAAAATTATAAATCATTTGAATTTCTTAGTGTTGAAATATTGTTATCATTAATTTATAGAAATATTGATTATTGTTAGTTATTATTAATTTATAAAAATAATAATTTTATTAATATATTTTTGATCAATGTTTTTAACTGAAATCATACTTTAATTGCAATATTGAATATAAAATTTCTCCAGCTAGGAATCAATCAATGAGAAAAAATATGCAAAATAATGAAGAGCTATGGTAAATTTTATTCTTAATTTATTCAGCTTGCCATTTGAAATTTCTCATTGATTTTAATTCAAAAAGATGTCTAAGCTGATGTCACTTGCTCATGAATGCACCCTCTTAACTAAGTATTAGGCCTTAACTAAATATAATTGTAAATATTTACCTCAGAATTGGTAACCAGGAAAAAGGTTCAACCAGTTCGATTGATAATAAGTACTTAAAAACTATCAGTCTCTATTCATGAATCAAAAGTATTTAAAAAAAATTTTTTGAACAATTTGAGGATTATGCATAATGTTTTAGTTAGAAAGGTAAGTTAACTTAGCTAACTCACAAAATAAAAATTAAGGAAATAGGCATTATCTATCATGCATCAGTAAGTTGCTAAGAAGTATAAGAGAATATGTGTTATTTCTATTAACTAGAAGATGCAGAAATTGATGGGCTAATAAAAGGTAGCTGAATTAGTTTAGCCTTATAGGTTTGATATCTTTATAGGATGTTATTTTGATATTACTCTATGTTTTGAATACTATGTTTTTACTCTATACTATTAGTCTATGATATGAAAACTATGTTTTTTTTAAATCTTATTTATTATGAAAACCTTACTAAATTTTTTGTCTTGAAGTGGGTTGAAGAGCTTGTGGCTATTTCTCAAGAAGAATTATGGCAATTGCCATTTGGATATACAAAAGTAAATGCATAATTTAGTTGATTTATAATAAACTATCATATTTTTAACAATTATCTAATTACTCTGCTTCTAATTTTCAGGAGAAGTGGCCTACATCTTTAAAAAACTTTGTGACTAAATGTAAGAAATTAGCTTCTTATCGTTTCGCTACTAAAAAGTTTCAGGATACAGTGCCAAAAGATAATTCAAATCTTTTGGAAAAGTTATCAGATAAAAAACAATATGAGGTGCAAATTATGTCTTATCTAATTAAGCAAGTCTGCCAAGTTTTGAAATGTAATACAGTGATAGATGTTGGATCAGGGCTGGTAACGATTCTTTTTAACTATATTTATTTTGGTTTTTTGTGTTATTATCACATATTAATTTTGTACCTGTAAAATGCTGGGAAGTTTAAAAAGAAAATTAGCTGTTTAGATTGTAATTTTGATATTTTTGAAATTTTTCGTTCATCATATATGTGTTTTGTTTTCTGGTACAGCTATTTTTTTAAAATTTTACTCTAGGAATTGTATTCTTAGAAAGATATTTCATTAATATCACAAACATAACTTGATGCAGCATTTTTGATTAAATTAAAATATGCATAATAAAATTAGTTTTGTTAGTATTCATTTATATATTGTTTTTAAAAACAAAAAAAAGTTATGTTTAAAAGTTTGTCTTCATCTTAATGAATGCTTGCAGTAACAAGGTTGGGTATTTACCTTTATTTAACATCAATCCATAATTAACTAATTATCTTCGCACTGAAAGGCATTAATACTATGATATGGATTTTTGTTATTTTCTGTTCACACTATATGCAAGTAAGGAAAAAAAAAATACTGAAAGATAAAGCAAACAAATATGTTAGTAGTTTAATTTTTTTAAATCTGTTTAATTTTAAACTTATATTTTTGAGTAGTAGTATTACCAAAATTATGTATTTTCCTCACAATTTTGATCCCCTGCAGAAGGGATGGCTTACCCCCTTGGGTATCTTTACGATCTGTGAGGGAAGTTGCTGTTCAAAGTGGTTACCCACCCACTCATTGACTGCAGATAGTGATGGTACTGGGATGTCTTATAATCAGTCCTCTGTGGGGCTTATATTTTTGAATGAAAGTAATGTAATAATTAAGAAAGTCTTTTTTTTTTTTTTAAAGTTAAGACACTTTTTTGGATCTAGATTATTTTGCAGCATAGCTGACACATTTTGAAAAATTTGATTGTGTTTATTATTTAGGTAAGGTACTATTGAATTTTTGTTCAGATAATTTATGAATGAATAAAAATAAGTTGCTAAGAAAAATGATTACAGTTTTTATACATTATTGTTATAAGTTGTGAAACAGTATGTTTAAAATTTGTTTCATTTCTTTTACTCTGAAATGGAAAAATTTAAATACATAAGTAGCCTGTAAATAACTTTTAAATTATTAGAATATAAAAGCTATGATTAATTTTTTCTTCATGGAGTTAAACACTTATCAAACCCCTCCCCTCACCCATACCTTTTTTTTAAAAAAAAATTGAGCAAAAGAAGTAGTCAAAATCTCTTCATGAAAACAAGCCTTCAATTTTAACTCTTAAGGAATTAATTTTGCAAACTCTCATTTTTAATTTTTTCTCAACATAGTAAAACTCTCATTTTTTTAATATCGAATGTTTTCATGTTTCATTTTTTATGATAGTGTCACACATTGGAATCATAACTTTGTATTAAAAGAATAGTCAAAATTGTAAGTTAAAAATGAAATTTTTTAAGTTTAAAGTTTTATCTAACATTTTAGATATGATTCTTATAAATTTGCTTTTCATATATATTTTTTTTGACATAAATTTTTCTTTTCAAAATTTCTTCTAAATTTTAATCTTTTTTTTAAAAATTCAATGGGGTAATACACATAATTTAGATTTGTGCTTGATTTTTATTTGAAAATTTTTGTCAAATTCTCAAATTTTAATGAAGTGTGACTGAATTTTAATCAAATTACTTTAGAGATTCGATTTTTCAAATTTGCCTGACCAAACTTACAATTTTCAAATATCAATTTTTTTCTTTTTGCAAAAATGTTTTAAGTTTTTACCATGCTCTTAAAAGTTGTGTTGTAACTTTGTATGCAAACTTCAGTCAAAATCTCAAACTTTAGGTGAAAAAGTGACTGGATTTCAAAGTTAGAAACAACATTTTAAAAACTAATGCTAAAAGTTGTATTTCAAAACCTACATTTTTGGACATACCTATTTTCTACAGTTTTATATATTTATTTTTTTAAAAATGTTGCAATGTACTTTAAAATTCGGCTGTGAAGCAAGTTATTTTTGCCCTCATATACCATAAGACTCACTAAAAAGAATGATTTTCTAATTAGCACATTTCTTTCATCGTTATATATTTACAATTCAAATTTTCCCATGTTTTTTCTACAGGGTTACTTAGATGAAGCTCTGCATGACAATTTTGGATTGTGTTGTATTGGATTAGATGCTGTCCCCAAATATACATTAGCAGCAAAAGAACGCTTAAAATCTGGTAAGAATCAGCTTTAAAATAATTTTAATTGAATTAAGAAGAAAATAATTTCATTTTTATCACGCCTAAAACAAAGCATGTCGGGTAATTACTTTTATCCCTATCTAAAATTCCTTCATGTGTTTGGTGTTATAAAAAATTAAATTATTTCTCTTTTTTAAGCTACTTGAAAAAACACAGTTTTTGCATTTTTTTGTTCTATTTTAGTAAAATAATTAACTGTTTATTCTTACTGTGTTTCTTAAATTTTGAAATTGTATATAATATATATATAATATATTATATTTGTAAATAAAATATATATATTATATTTTATTTTGTATAATCTTGATTATGAGTAATCTACTATTTGTTGAAATAAACACAAATATTCTTGTAATAGATATTTTTGTTTTCTTTCTACTGTGTTGCAGTATAGTGATCACCATTATAATCAGGGTTGGGTTTTTGACGTCAAAAAGTGGTTTTTGACATGACAAGGGTATAATACTGGTTTAAACCGTCAAAAACCCGTCAAAAATGTCAAAAACTAAAGTTTGCCAAAAAAATATATAAACTTCANAAATCAACGAACCCTGTTTCTGGTACAGCTATTTTTTAAAATTTTACTCTAGGAACTGTATTTTAATAAAAGTATTTCATTAATATCACAAGCATAACTTGATGCAACATTTTTGATTAAATTAAAATATGCATAATAAAGTTAGTTTTGTTAGTACTTATTTATATATTGTTTAGAAAACAAAAAGAAAGTTATGTTGTCTTCATCTTAATGAATGCTTCTAGTAACAAGGTTGGGTTTTTACCTTTATTTAACATCATAATTAACTAATTATCTTTGCGCTGAAAGGCATTAATTACAATGATATAGATTTTTGTTATTTTCTGTTTTCACTATGTGCAAGTAATGAAAAAAAAAAAAATACTGAAAGATCAAGCAAACAAATATATTTAGTAGTTTAATTTTTTTAACCTGTTCAATTTTAAACTTATATTTTTGAGTAAAAGTATTTTCTAAATTATGTTTTTTTTCCTCACAATTTTGATCCCCTGCAGAAGGGATGGCTTACCCGCTTGGTAAGCTTTACGACCTGTGTGGGAAGTTGCTGTTCAAAATGGTTACCTACCCGCTCATTGACTGCAGATAGTGATGCTACTGGGGTGTCTTATAATCCGTCCTCTGTGGGGCTTATATTTTTGAATGAAAGTAATGTAATAATTAATAAAGTCTTATTTTTGAAAGTTAAGGCACTTTATTGGATCCAAATTATTTTGCAGCATAGCTGGCAAATTCTGTAAAATTTGATTGTGTTTATTATTTAGGTAAGGTACAATTGAATTTTTTTTCAATAATTTATGACTGAATAAAATAAGTTGTTAAGAAAATGATTACAGTTTTTATACATTATTGTGATAAGTTGTGAAACAGTATGTTTAAAATTTGTTTCATTCTATTTACTCTGAAATTGTAAAATTTAAATACATAAGTAGCCTGTAAATAACTTTTAAATCATTAGAATATACAAACAATAATAAATTTTTTCTTCATGGAGTTAAATACTTATCAAACCTGTCCCCTCGCCCCTCCCTCAAAAGGTTTAACGATATTAAAACCTTTCAAATCAACCTTTAAAACCTTATAATATCGTTTTGATCAAAAAAAGTAGTCAAAATCTCTTCATAAAAGCAAGCCTTAAATTTTAACTCTCTATTAATTAATTTTACAAATTTACATAGCGAAACTCTCATTTTTTTTTAATATCAATATTTTCATAATGGAGTCATAACTTTGTATTAAAAGAATAGTCAAAATTTTAAGTTAAAAATGAAATTTTGTAAGTTTAAAGTTTTATCTAACATTTTAGATTTAATTCTTATAAATTTACTTTTCATATATTTTTGCATTACTTTGATATCAATGTTTCTTTTCAAAATTTCACTAAATTGTATTCATTTTTTAAAAAATTTAGCGGGGTTATACACATAATTTAGAGTTATGCTTGATTTTTATCTGAAAATCTGTCAAATTTCTGTCAAATTCTCAAATTTTAATGAAGTGTTACTGGATTTTAATCAACTTACTTTAGAGATTCGATTTTTCAAATTTGCCTCACAAAACTTAGAATTTTCAAACATAAATTTTTTTCTTTTTACAAGAATGTTTTTAGTTTTTACCATCCTCTTAAAAGTTGAAAACAACATTTTAAAAACTAATGCTAAAAGTTGCATTTCAAAACCTACATGTTTTGAACATACCTATTTTCTACAGTTTTATATACTTATTGCTTTCAAAATGTTACTACAATCTACTTTAAAATTCGGCTGTGAACCAAGTTATTTTTTGCCCTCATATACCATAAAACTCACTATAAAGATTGATTTTAAAATTAACACATTTCTTTCATCGTTATATATTTACACTTCAAATTTTCCCATGTTTTCTCTGCAGGGTTACTTAGATGAAGCTCTGCATGATAATTTCGGATTGTGTTGTATTGGATTAGATGCTGTCCCCAAATATACATTAGCAGCAAAAGAACGCTTAAAATCTGGTAAGCATCAGCTTTAAAATAATTTTAAATTGAATTAAGAAGAAAATAATTTAATTTTTATCATGCTTAAAACAAAACATGTCAGGTGCATTACTTTTATCACTATCTAAAATTCCTTCATGTGTTATGAAAGTAATGGCCAATAGGTTTGTTCGAGGTGTTATAAAAAATTAAATTATTTCTCTTTTTTAAACTACTTGAAAAACCCAGTTTTTGCATTTTTTGTTCTAGTTTAGTAAAATAATTAATTGCTTATTCTTACTGTGTTTCTTTAACTTTGAATCTTGATTATGAGTTGTCTACTATTTGTTGAAATGAACATAAATATTCTTGTATAAATATTTTCATTTTCTTTCTACTGTGTTGCAGTATAGTGATCGCCATTATAATGTTATTTTATGTAATTTTAATTAACTTTTTTTATATTTAATATTTTAACTGTTTCCCCCCCTTTTTTTTAAGCTGATTTTTTTCCCTGCACATTTTTTATGTTGTATATTTTTACTAGAAGCAACAAGTTATGTTTAACATTTTTGTTTAACATTGAATCAACTGTTTAATTGAAGATACAGATAAAATTAGAAAAATGAAATTTGTTTGGAATTTCATAATTTATAACTACAACACTGCTCTAACAAATCTAATGATTTTTCATACGATAATATCAGAAGTAATTAAAAAGCAGGAAATTCTTTAGGAGTTGATTTAAATTCAAACTCCTTTATCTTATTATCTTGTAATGGATAATCCACATTTATTGGGAAAAACCCTGTCTCATCTTTTTCCATTAGCAGTTTACTGCACCCTTTCACAAAAACTCAGCCAGAATCTGTCAACTTTGGAACACTTGTAAAGATGTGGTCTGCTTTTTTCAGTCTATCTCTGTGTGTTACACTTTGCTATTGCATGAATTAGCCTTTGTTTTTAATTCCTCTAACAAGCGAACTGGGAAGTTATCTGTTTTCCATTAAATATTTTATTGTTTTTGACAATATTTTTGTGAAAAGATGAAAAAAAATAAGGATGTTTAATTCACTTTGATTTATTTGAGTTTAGAAGTGCATGTTGTTAAAAAGAATATATTTTTTATAAACTGCATAAATTTGTGCAAAGAAAGCAACCTTTATTATATTAGTAATTATATAAATCTTATGTTTAAACTTACTTCTCAGGAGGTTTCTCTTTTTCAAATAAATGCACAGTTTCAATTAAATATGCATTATATAGAGTTTAACTACCTTAAAGTGTCCTAATAACCTTTCATTTTTTTTTTTTGGTTGCCTAAACAAAGCTTATATAGGACCTGTAAACAAAATCATATATTTATTTTTAAGCAATTTGTGATATTCTGTATAAGAAATAAATCAATAAAGACATTTTTAGTTTGCTTTCGAAATTGCATTATTCAAGCTTCTTTTTGCTCTTTATGTGCAATAATCTATGTCCTCTTTTTCAAAACATACATTACATTTCTCCCTATATTCATTAAAATTACTGTTACATAACCAGATAATAAATGTATTTTTATTTTAATGAAAAATATAATAAAATAGATCTTTTTCTTTCTTTTATTACTTTATCAAAGATTTGATTGTGCTTATATTAATGATTTTTATGTGAAAGGATTTATTTATTTTCTTTTTTTTATATCATAGGTTTTCATTTACCTAATGATTAAACAGAACACAAAATGATTAAAGGCCAGAAAAATAAAATCATTTATTTTTATTGGTGCCTTTTATAATTTACTAAAGAATAAATTGTCATTTTACGAATAAGAAGTTATGTTCCATCTGATCGAAGATAAGTTTTCTAAAAGAAAAACATAAAGTTATTTGATGGTTTCAAAATAAAGTAGTTTATTGTTGTTCTTTAAAATTTATAAACAAAATGTATGAATTAAAAGCGTTTTTTTTTTTTTTAAAATTCTGTAGTACTGAAATTATTGATTTTCCTGTTGAACTTAAATCATTGATTTTCCTGTTGAACTTAAATCATTGATTTTCTGTTGTTCTTAAATGATTGAAAGCCTTATGCCTTTTTCTTTTGTAGTCTTTAAACTGTTTGAAATTAAAATTAGAAAACTGCTAAAAAAGTAAACAAAAGTAGTGAGTTATGCATTATGAAGCTTATTAAAACCATTTTTTTTTAACTTTTTAGATACATGCAAGCATTCTGTTCTCCATAAAACTTTTGAAGTGAAAAATACCGACGAATGTTTACTTCATTTCAAAGCAGTTCTAAACGAAGCAAAGGAATTGCATTGCTGTTGCATCCCTGGCATATCTGGTTTGTTTATTATTAATCTATCTTATTTACTATCAAAATGAATACATAGAATTCTGTTTCATGTGAAACTTAAATAATGTTGTCATCTTAATTACATGTTTTAATAAAAACAGATATAGAAACTAGTATACAGTGGTCTCTAATAATGAGAACTTTTTTGGAGCAAGGATCAATTATTAAGAACCTGCATGTTGTGGAATATATTGTAGCACAACAGCTTTTTGTTTTTATGAAATTATATGAAGGAAATGTATATTTTTACTTTAGTATTATTTAAAATTAAATAACTTGGTCAAAAGTACAATACACAATTTTAATGCTCATTCAACTGCAGTAGCTAAAATCACATGCCTGTTATTGTCAAATATGTATGAAAACAAATTTTTTTCTCTCCCAAGAATGTTCACCTTTTTAGGTTAAAAAACAAGTTATATTTTGCAAAATAACTATAAACCGGAAATGCTGAATAACCAGTACCAAAAATGATTTCTTTTTAGGACCTCTTTTAGTATGTATTATTGTGACTTATTATTGGTATTTTTTTATGAAAAGGTTTATTTTGCAAGAAAATTTTAAATTTTGTAGTGGTTCTCTTGTAATTGATATGTACTTGACTTTAAAAGTTGAGTATCTTTTTTTTCCTCGAGGTAATTTATTGATATTTTCATTAGTTTCATAATGCCAAATGGAACTGGTAAACTGATGTACATTACTTGATGCAAGACTGATGTGTAAATTATAAATGTCTATCAACATATCCTAGACACAAGGTTACTGAAATTTAAAAGTGCAAGCTGTTTCTCATGTAAATTTTTACTTATTTAAATTGCATTGATGTGAAATTAATTTCTTCACATATTCAGTTTTTATGCAAGTGTTATTTTCTCTTTGAATTTGAGAAAAAAAGTTTATAGAAACTTTTCAATTAACAAAACTAAGATTTTCTTTTAAGATTGTCATTTTCTTTTAATTGGCGTATTTTGAAAGTGACCAAATGGAGAAATAAGCACTCAGACTTTAAAAGATATTAATATGTGTGCAACTGCACACATTAATATCTGTTAATGCATCTGTATAGTGTTATCCAAAATAATTTTATTCCTGTATTAATTTTTGAGGAGAGGTATTTAAAATCTAGAAGTGAATTTGAAAACGGAGATAAAGTTTGTAAATTACCCTCACATTATATTTTCCCTTAAAGGGATTGCATTATAATTAACAACTAAGTTATTTAAAGTGAATACTACAATTATTTTTTTGTTCTTACCGTTTAACAAGATGCTGGAAATTCATCTCTCAATTGACACTTCATTGTTGGCATAAAAGGGAACAAGTAGTTACAAATGATTATAAAAACTTGCCTTATGTTGGTCAAATAGCTTTAAAGTTGTAATATCACAAAAAAGTTTTTCATATCTAAAAAAGATATAAATTGAAATGAAATTTTTATATAATTTTCAGAAAGCCGAGCTGCATCTGCTGTAATTGTTGGTTTACATAGCTGTGGCAATCTCAGTCAAGATATGATGGAACTATTCTGTGAGTTAGAAGACATCAATGCATTTATTTGTATAGGGTGTTGTTATAACAAGATTAAATTGACCAGTAAGTATTTGGTGGCTTTCATAGTAATGTATGAGAGTTTTTTAAATATTCTTTTATTATTGGATTTGATTTATATTCTAGGACAGGGGTGGCGAACCTTTATACAACTGTCAGTCGTAACCTTTTACAAAAGAAATAACGCAAAATTCTACAAAAACTAATTCACCATTTTATTATTCTTCCTTCAGGCATTTNTAACTTATATTAGGTTCTAAGATGTTAGTTTAGGCAGGACTGTTGATTTTTTTTTGCTAGTTATTTCTTGTTAGCTTGTTTTTTATGGTTATTAATTGTTTTTTAGCATTAATTTTTAATTTTTTTATTAATAATTGTTTAATATTTTGTTTGTTTTTTGTGAATTTTAATTTAATTGTTACATATGCTTCATAGCGTAATAACATTTGTGTAATAACAATTCATAGTGTAACAACAATTGTGATCGGTGGAGTGCCCAAAATATTGTGTCGCAAATGGCACGCGTGCCATTGGTTCGCCATCCCTGTTCTAGGATATGATTTATAGGGTTTACGAAAGAAATGAAAAATGTGAAATATCTCATATCTGAGACTACTCCAACCAGGGACCGTTCAAGACAAATTCAGACCCAAGGCCCACCAAATTTTCCAGGCCCCTTACAAATTACTTTGAAATTAAATTAATGAAAAGTAGTCCTAACAATAAAAAAGAATCCATTGAACTGCATAATTCAAGCGAAGAAAGAAGTTTTGAAGAAATTCTAAGAAATTTTGAAAGGAGACTATTGAAGATTATTTTTCTAAGATATATGCATCTATAAATTAAAGCAAAATGTAAAACAACAAAGCAATGTTACGTCAAAATTAAAATAGTTTGGTGACCACAAACAATTGGAATCAGTGATTTTTGCTAAAAGTCATTGATTAGCTGAATTATTTTTTTATTGTAAGCTGTAATTATTTTTTATTTAGTACTTAAACCAACACAAAGCTAGCCCACCTTTCATAAGACTTTACTAATTTTTGAGGCCACTCAGAAATTGTGGGCCTTAGGCCCATGTCTGTTGGGCCTAGGCGATAATCAGTCCCTGACTCCAACCCATATTCGTTGTAATCCCAAGAAGTCTCTTAAGGTGGGAGGTCAAATTTGGTTAAATTAATCAGTTTTATTTTTTTAATTTCAAACTCGTTTTTTGTTTTTTAAAATAGTTTTTCAATTTGGCGTGTATTTTTCGAGATATCTACACTTTAAGCCAATTTTCAATTTGCTATTATAGAGCAATCTGTATTCCAAAATGCAAGACCTGTGAGTCAATGGTAATTTTTGGGGAGAATAAAGGTACTTTTTTAAGAATACTTAATACTTTGATTTAGAATGTACGTAAAAGTAAAGTGTTGGTGCATATATAATATTGCTATTGTAATTTTTTTTGATAGACCAATAAGTCCTAAATTTATATTTCTTAGTTAGTATGCAATCAAAAGATATGTTTTGGCAAATAAAAGTATCATCCTGGCTTGCATTTTATAAAGTAATATGCTCACCAGGATATTAAAAAATTTTAAGATATGTTGAGCTCTGATTAGCAGGGCTTATGAAAGGTATGACAATGGTCAAATACCTTGAGACTACTCCACTTTACCTTACCACTCAAACTCAACCTCTCTATCTGGGAGTCTCAAGAGGTTGAGTTTGTCATCAGGTATATATTTTTTTAAATATCAAGTTAGTTATTATTTTTATTATTATTTTCAATCTGATATGTATTTTTTGAGATATCTACATTTTAAGCAATATGAACTCCATTTTCATTTTATGGTTGCATAATAATCTGTAGCAATGCAACAGCCTGTATTTTGAGTTGGAGTACTTTTTTCTAGAGAATCAAGATCTGTAAAAAATAAATTAAGGGTTCATATGTAGGATTTTGAAGTTAACTTCCGTCTTAGAAAGCAGGTGAGGTTGAGGATTCACTCGATACCATTGGATGCATCCTATGAAACTATTTCTCACATGCATATTTCATACAGAGCGTCTCCATTTCCTTGCAAATTGTTTGTATTGGTATAACAAATTGGTTTATTAAACCTTTAATGAATAAAAATATTAAAAAAAGAATTTTTTTAATTAAATATTCTTTTTTGACGCATAGCAAAGAATAATTTTTATCCCAAACTTCTTATTCAATAAGTTTAAATTATCCACTTTCTTTACATATGATTCAAAAATGAAACAAAATAACATAAATAATTAGTGTTAACATGCGTTTAAAATGAGTAATTTTCAGAATGGTTATTTATAAATTAGTTATATCATATTAAGAAGGAGATATACAAAAATACAGAAATATGCAATGCAAATTAATTCATATTACCTTTTCATGGAGTAACATGAGAAAAACTGTTCTCCCCTCAGAAAAAAGCCTTGAACAATACGAGACTAATTGTTCGTTTTTTTTTTAAAAGAATTTTTCACTTTTTCGTATTCTACATAATTGAATTATTACATATACATTGTTAAAAGTCACGAGGAACAAAAACTTGGTGTGAAATGAAGATGACGTTTAAGCATTCAGAAATATTTTCTAGTAAAAAGGAAAATACCTAATGCAAAATAAAATATTTACAACATAACCTATTGCCTCTCATATAACTTTTTACTGAGAGGTATTTTTCTCAATTGTGTAAATTCTTTGTTGTACGCATGGGTGCTAGTCTTCCGTCCCCAGGACGGATTTCCGTCTTTCGAAAATGTCTGCGGACGGAAACAAGACTGACTGGAAGGCGGAAATCAGATTTTTTTTTCTTTCTGTCCTTAAAAATATTTTTTAGGTCTGCGTTATTGGTGTACTTTCTTATATCCTGTTGTTATTTTATCAAAAGACAGATGAATAAATATTTTTTGTACAGTATTTAAACTTGATGTATTATGGTAAAGCTTTCTTAGATAGTTTGCATATGTCGAGGGGGTATTTTGTATGTTAGGTATTTCAGTCAAGAAATTTTCAGTCTTGGCCTTTTTTCCAACTTGCACCCATAGTTGTACATTTACAATTTTTTTTTTGTGTGACTTGACTTTTAATTTTACAGTATCTAATTCAGAAGACTAATACACGAAATATTGTATATTTAGGAAACTTTATTGTGTAATCTTTTTTTATCCCTCAAATTTGTGGTAATATAATTATATCAGTGTATATGGAATAAGTCATAAGTGTTTTGGTTCCTAGTGACTCCTTGTCCCTAGTCTTATGATTTAGCCTTTCTTTTGTTATAGAAAATTTATTCGCATGCCATAATAGTGTTTTGTTTAGTCATTGAACCATTTTGTTAAAGCTTGTTTCATGAATTTTCTTCTTTGCATTTAAAGTTTCTTATTTTTTAGATTTTCCAATGAGTACTGTTGTTAAACATTCCGTAAGTTCAACACAAAAAGTCTATCCTGAATGGTATCCCTCTATATCAGGTTTAAGGCTTGCGGCTCATGGCACTAGGTCACATTCATGCTCATTTCCTGTTAGTGAGGAAAGAGAGAAGAACTTGTTCTACCGAGCTCTTCTTCAATGTTATATTAAAAAAGGTATATTATTTCTAAATTTATTCAAATATTTTTACCTTTTTTTAGTACTAATTAAAATTTGTATTTGAAAATTAATTTAATTTGGTTTAATAATATTTATTTTTGAAAAAAAAAACAAGGTTTGTTTGAAAAGTAAAAATGCATTGTGTGTACATGGGTAGTATTTTATTCTTCGTTTTTGTGCTATGAAGCCATTTTGGGCAAATCAGTGACATAAAGGACAACATAACAAAAATGAAGATTTAATAGCATCTCTTGATTAACAAATTTTTAACTTTTTCATTAACTATTTTGACGCCCGGTGGCTGAGTGGTAGCGCATCACGCTTCCGTGCCACAGGTCCTGGGTTCGATCCTTTGGCTGGGCAAGGTTGACTCAGCCTTTCATCCCTTCAGTTGGTCGATAAATGAGTACCAAGCATGCTTGAGAACTAAACGCTAGGGATTCTGTGTTCGGCTGACCACCTAACCGGAACATCTGCTCCTGCACCCCAGAGCCCAAGGTCAAGAACACTGATAAAGGCTCAATACGTCCTGACCCTCTATGGGCTGTTGCGCCACTGAGTTTAGTTTTTAGTTTCATTAACTATTTTAGATTTAAAATGAAATATTTAGTTTTTAAGTATTTTGTAATAGCAATAAANCTTATATTTTTAACTTTTAACACGACCCAGATATCAATGTAACTTGTTATTGAAATAGAGGAGTAAAATCGTACTTTGAAAAACATTTTGAATGAAAATAATTAGAATTTCCATTACACACAAATGAAAATCAAGAAAACGCTTTACTAGCAAACTAATTGTACGCAAACAGGCTACCTTGGAATGTTTACTAAAATGTTCTTTATTTTATTTATTTATTTATTTATTGTAAGTACATAAATTGTGTGTTTTATTTTATTTCAAATATTTGAATTTCAGAATGATATAAAGAATTAAATTTTAAAAATATATTAGTTTTTTTTTTTTTAATTTTAAAATTTACGAATTATAAATCTTTAAAAAAATCTGGAAAAAAATGCGTCATAAAATTTTCGAATTTCAGATTTTTCTGGCAAAGAGACTGAATGTTATCAATTATTATTAATCATTACATTTTATAAAAATCAAATAAAAAAAAGAACAAATTATGTACAGCTGCAATAAACAAGCACCGCAGTTCAGTAGAGGTCGTGGATATAGAGTACAAACTAGTTACTAGACCAGTGATGTCAACGCTCACCGTGACGTCCGTTTGGTCGAGTGATTGATCTTTCTGCCTTTATATCTATGGGGTCGATAAATGAGTACCAAGCATGCTTGAGAACTAAACACTAGGGATTCTGTGTTCAGCTGACCACCTAACCGGAACATCTGCTCGTGCACCCCAGAGCCCAAGGTCAAGAAAACTGAGAAGGGCTCAATACGTCCTGACCCTCTATGGGCTGTTGCGCCACTGAGTTTAGTTTTTAGTTTCATTAACTATTTTAGATTTAAAATGAAATATTTAGTTTTTAAGTATTTTGTAATAGCAATAAAAAAAAGTTTATTAAAATTGTAATACAGTGCATATTTATAACATCAGTCACATAAAAATTTATCTTCAGTCACAAGAGCTTTTTCTTTGCCACTTTCCATATGTCATTTTGTGTGTATTTTTAATGTTTCTTGTTTAATGTATTTTTAATGTTTCCTGTTTAATGTATTTTTAATGTTTCCTGTGTAATGTATTTTTAATGTTTCCTGTTTAGCACTTTTTCTGAATAAATTTAAAAAAGTTATCCCATTATTGCTTATAGGAGAGGGAGAATTTTAAAATAAAAATATGATGTTTTATCTATGTGTTCTTGCTCTGTACCTTCAGTCGCATGTTATATTTTAATTCTAAGTAAAACATTAGTAGTTTTCATCCCTTTTTCTTATATGCATAATATTAGACTATTGAAAAACTTCCCAGATAATTATAAAAAAAAAATGAAACATGTATCAATGAAAAAGAAGTTAGAAAACCTTTTAAAATGTAATGTCAGTCTCGAAGGAATCGCCTTTTTAAATTTTTGATGGGGTGCCGACCGATCTGTGTAGGGGTCAGAACTGCCCTTGCATTAGAAAGATTCTGGGTTTAAATCTTGGACAAGGCACGGATGTTCTTTCATTCTCTGTAATATCTGTCCTTAATGTGGGAGCAACGTTGGCCCACCTAATATGGTGCCCCTGAAAGAGTGGCCCACAAATATGCCCTTCAGATGCCTGCATTGAGTGGCATTGAAAAAAAATATTTTTGATGGGCTATGCTTTCAATAAGTTTTTTCAGAGGTCAAAGAAAGCTTTCTAAAGCAATGTGAGATTATTAAATATGTCATTTTATTACACTTTGGCAAATTGTATGTAACTTGGAATCCACCCTACCATGCTTCCTCAGACAGCATTCTCATTTGTTTTTAATTATTGAAAATAGTAATACATTCAAGAGTTAAAATCTTAAAATAAATATTGGTATTTTTCTTTTATATAAAAATGTACTAAATAATGCTCATAATCCTATTCGTTTTCTTTAAAAAATATTGAATTTTGTTCAAGAAATTATAGGAACGATTATATATAAAGAATTGAATATTAAACAGGAAACATTTAATATTATCTGAAGAATTGAAATTAGATGAAGAGTACTTATCATAATTATGAATAATATTATGCTGATGTTTGTTATTTTACAACTAATGCATGGCTGGTCTCAGTAATTAAAATTTAGCAAAGTATGTTAAATAAATGCCCTTTTGTTAATGGATAAATAAATAAAAATGAATTCTTTGATACTGATGATTGGTATTTATTACTTAATCTTGCTCTTAAAGCTTAATATTGCTCTTAACGTTTTATAAAAGTTTTTTATAAACTTCACAGTTGAATTTGCAAAAAGTATCATATTTCGAATAAGTAAAGGCATTTTTACTTCATGTTTCTTTAATTTTTTTTTAGAACTCAAATATCCAATATAAAAGTTGAGTTTCAAAATTAATATTGCAAGTTTTATTAAATGTGTTTCTCTTATTTATTGCTTTAAGAAAGCATGTTCTGTATTGGTCCTTTGAATGAAAGATAAAGATTACAATTCTACATGCATTTATGTTTGGAATTTTTTCCAACTNTTTATTAAATGTGTTTCTCTTATTTATTGCTTTAAGAAAGCATGTTCTGTATTGGTCCTTTGAATGAAAGATAAAGATTACAATTCTACATGCATTTATGTTTGGAATTTTTTTCCAACTATTGTAGAAAAGTAACAAAAACTGGATTATTCCTTCACCTCGTATGACTGAACTACCTCTTATGACTGATTCCCCTCTTATGACTGATATATTTGAATTTCATTTATTGAATTATTGCCAAATAAAATACTACTTAAATTCTATAATTTATCTAATACAGTAGAATCCCGACTATCCGAGTTAATGTGGACCATGACTAACTCGGATAACTGAAAAACTCGGTAAAAACGAGGAGTATAAAAAAAGAAAGAAAAAGAGTTGGTATAAATGTAATATATTTAAGAAATATAAAATTTATACGAGTATACCGCATACAATTCCTATTATTATTAAAAAGCTTACTCGAATAAACTTAAAAAGCATACTTTGCGAGAATTAAAGAGTTCTTACTTAAAAAAAGTCCTTAATCGTTTTTTGTTTTACAAACTTTGGTGCTTTTCTGCAGCAATGTTTCGCCATTTTTTAGGGATAACAGGAAGGCTGGTGTTGCCTCTTTTTGTTGTTCTATGTATTCAGTAGTATTTTCGACAGCTTTAAGTTCATTGTGTGAGAGATTTTTATATGTTGAATTTCATCGTCACTGTCTTCATCATCTTTGCTAGGTTCATTTTCATTATTGGCGATATTAACGATCATTTCATGGGATCAAGTTGTTAGACTTTGTCTTCCCGAGTGTTTGGCAGATAAAATTCAGATTTATTTTTCGGCGGTATTTTTAAAAGTAAAAAATAAGCTAGAACAGAAAAACCCTTAAAATATTTGATAGCTCGGTTAAAGCAGAAACTCGGATAACCGGGGCTCGGATTATCGGGACTCTACTGTATTTGTTTTAAAGGCAAATGAGGTGTTGTTGCAACCGAAATTAAAAAAAAAAAATCTAATTTGTATAGGGTTAGTTTGGTTTATATATATACATATATAATTGTTCATATAAATGCTATCAATGTTTTACCATGCTCCACCACAAAACTTTTAGAATTGAAAATTTTGAAAATTAAGTTTGAAAACAGTGTCCTTGTTTCTACAAAACAATTTTTTAATGTCTCATTGAATGCCTCATTGAACATACAACTTTCATCTATTGTCTATATTTGCTTATTAACATAGAAATCATTTTTTTTTTTTTTTTTTTTTTTTTTTTTTTTTTTTTTTTTTTTTAAATTGTTGTTGAAAAAAAATTTTACCTTGTACCTCTGTACTTTTTACCATGTACCCAGAGTTACTATTAAGAGTGTAAGGAATAATTTGAACTTAGATTAATTAAGTCACCTTTTTAAATATTAAGAGAAAAAATATTGTTTTGTTTACTAAAATTGGCTATTATCTATAGTTCATAGAAGTTATGCCCAAATTTAAAATTATTCTCTAAATGCCTTTATTTTATTAAAAATTGGGTTTAGAGAAAAAAATTTCATTTAAAGTTTCTAGTGTTAAATTGTTCCTAAGGAACATTTTTTCTTTAAGTCAATCTTGAATGAAAAAAAAGCTCTTGAATTAATGTTTTGAGAATTTCTATTTTATTTTTGTTTCATTTGTTGAGACCTTGTGTAAAATTAGAAATATTATAGTATTATTATTTTTCATTTTTTTAAAAATTGGTAATCAAAATAAATTTTCACTGAAATTTCTATTTGGAATGCAAAGAATATTTTCCTAAAAAAAAAATGCACTCAAACTAAAACAGCTTTAAAATAAATGTTTAGGAAAAAATATTCTTGTTCTGAAATAATTAATAGTACTCAGAGTTTCTAGACTAGTATTCAGAGTTTCAGACTAATATCATTTCATCATTCATTATTATTCTTATACTGAGTTTCTAAGAATTCAGTTCTTCAATTATTCTAAACACACTTTTTTTATATGTAACACCATAACAATAAAACTTTGTAAAAAGTAACTCAGGTAGACTTTGCTGTTAAAAAAATATTTAAAGGTATAATTTTATAACACAAAGTCATTATTTTATTTGAGGCTACATTTTTACTTAGGCTACATTTTTGTTCTAATTTTCAGAACAAATAGTTTGGAAAAAACCAAAACGGCATGTAAGGACAACAGACCTTGCAGACTTTGATACTTACTGTTCTAAAATGTTTGAAGATCACATCTTAAGTAAGTGAAGCTCTAATTTCTGCAATAATGTGTTTCTGTGTGTCTTGGTGTTTTCTTTTTAAAATAATTAAGATAAAGATTTTTTCAATCAGTTAGATTACTGAATGTTTAAATTCCGTGGAATTTTTATTTTATTGAGGACCTTCCTGTCCTCAATAAAATCCTGTTCCTTTGGCAATAGCATTTGGCATGATCCCGATCATGCCAATTGCTATTGCCAAAGTACCATTGCTTAGTTCTTGTGGTTGCCCACAGAGAGCTATGATTCACACTTAGATTTGCTCCTTTCTATATTCTGCAATTTTTATTATTTTTTTTTAGTTTCTCATATGCTTCTGCCCTCTTGTCATCAAACCTTTATATTATTTTGAAGCAGTGTCCAATTCATATTTCTGTTTGGTAATTAGTTCTACACAATAATGAAATACATAATTTATATGCAATAAATATATAGTAATTTATATACAATTAATATATAATTTATACATAATTTATATATACATTATTTTCATTCTTCAAATCCAGAGTAAGTATTTTTTTCAAACCAACTACTAAGCCAAGTGTTTAAGGGTGATGTGAAAGAACAAAGTTCAACCTTACTGTTGCTGGTGTGATGTAAGACAATTTCTATTAATTAACTTAATTTTTAATATTTTTTCTCAAAATTTGGATATAATTAGAATTTATGGTACTTAATGTAACTAAAGCAAAAAAAAATCTGAAATTTTTTTTAATTAGATTAAGTTTTAACTGTCACTATTTTGTTATTCACTATTTTGTAATTCACTATTTTGTTAATGAAATGCTTCAGTATTCTTACTTTTTTCAAAAGTGATTTCTAGAAAATGTATCATTATTCATGACATTTTAATGAATGCCTTTTTCACAGTTCTGATTTTTATTTAATTACCATAAAAATTAGTTTAGCTAGATGGTAAAATTTTTTAAAATTTGAATTTTACTAAGAAATTTGTAAAATAGTGATCAATAAGTAAATTGTTAAGTTCCAAATTAAAATAAAAAAGTTGTAACATATTATGTTCGAATCAGACATTTAAATAATAGTGGATACAATTGTGGAATGCTTTATTTATATTTCTATATTAATTTGATGTTTTATTATATTAGACTGTTTAAAATTTTTAAGATTGAGAAGTAATATATATTTAAACATATTATTTCATAACTATTTTATCTTTCCTCACATCAAGCTAAAAAAAATGTGTGTATGTATAATGTTGTAGTAGAACATTTGAATAATTTTTTTTTTACGTGATCAAAGTGATTTTGACAGTTAAGTTTCTTTTATATTTTAAGTATTCACTCCATTTTGAAAATTGATTTCAGATTAAAGTTCATTTAGCTGTTTAAAACTGTTATGTTATTGATACAATTATGGTGCAGCTTGTGTTGAAATAATTAGTAAGACATAGCCAAATGTGTCTCTTACACTAGAAATAAATTAACTTACTCAGACTTATAAAGTGAATAAAAATCACATATAAAAAGTTTCACACATATAAATATAAATATAATATAAAGCAGGCTTCCAACAACCCTGATTTTCGTACTATCCAGACTTTCTATAGTTTTTTTTTGGCATACTTCGTATTTATTTATTGAAGATTAGTTGAATAGGTGGTAAATGAAAAGGTGACTCAGTAGAAGATAGGTGCTATAAATCCTCAAAGCTATGTGGTACACATATAAATATAACATAAAGCAGGCTACTGACTACCCAGATTTTTATACTATGCAGACTTGTAGGAAATGCGGAATATTGGTTTTTCCATAACTTGTGTGATGCGAATATTATTTTAAATATTTTTTTACCGTTTCTATAGTTTTTTTTTGGGCATACTTCGTGTTTATTTATTGAAGATTAGTTGAATGGGTGGTAAATGAAAAGGTGACTCAGTAGAAGAAGATAGGTGCTATAAATCCTCCAAGCTATGTGGTACGCATATAAATATAACATAAAGCAGGCTACCGACTACCCAGATTTTTATACTATCCGGACTTGTAGGAAATGCAGAATATTGGTTTTTCCAAAACTTGTGTGATGCGAATATTATAATTTTTTTTTTTACCGTTTCTATAGTTTTTTTTGGCATACTTCGTGTTTTTTTATTGAAGTTTAGTTGAATGGGTGGTAAATGAAAAGGTGACTCAGTAGAAGAAGATAGGTGCTATAAATCCTCAAAGCTATGTAGTACACATATAAATATAACATAAAGCAGGCTACCGACTACCCAGATTTTTATACTATCCGGACTTGTAGGACATGCAGAATATTGGTTTTTCCAAAACTTGTGTCATGCGAATATTATTTTAAATATTTTTTTACCGTTTCTATAGTTTTTTTTGGACATATTTTGTGTTTATTTATTGAAGATTAGCTCAATGGGTGGTAAATGAAAAGGTTATAGTGACTCAGGAGAAGATAGTTGCTATAAATCCTCTGAGATATGTGGTAGTGTTAAAAACTGTAGCTTAGGAGTTAGAAGTAGGTGAAAGTATTATTGATGACTGGAAAAAACTTTTCACATTTGTGTGTGTATTATATTAAATTTATTGTGTGTTATTTTTCACATTTGTGTGTGTATTATACAAAATGTGTATTATATTAATAAACAGTAAGTATTTTTGCATTAATAATTTATCTTAAAATGTGCATTTTGTGCTTTTAATTATATGAGAGAGAGGGTAAGAAGTGGAACTTTTTCTTATGAGGCAGTTTAGTTGTTGGGCCTATCCTTCTGCCACATGAAACTAGAGGATCAAGAGCCTACCATATTTTTGTAATTAAATAGCTTCTGGTGGAATAATTTCTTCTTAACAATAGCTCTTTTTTCTTCCCACTTATGCAATTTCAGTTATGTATTTTAGTACATTTCAGTTTTGAATGTATACAACTGTTTTTAAATATTTCGATTTTTGTTTACCAACTTTTTTTTCAGGGTTAATTTACTTCAAATATTTTTTAGGTGGTGATGAAAAAATACTTAGGGAACTGAAAAAATTATATCAGGAGAAATCGCAAATTTTTCATAGAATAAGGATATTATTGGTAAATATTATTATAAATTCATCCTTGCTAAATTTTTTTATGTTTTAATGTGTACTTTTTATATTCCATTTGTTAGTTTAACCTTGTTAAGAGTTGTAAATTGCTTTTTTCTTGTTTTAAGCTCTTTATTAGATTTTATTTTGAGTGTGCTCTTGTTTATTAAACTATTAATAATACTTTGAATACTCATTTTAGCTAATATTACTTAGGACTTCAGGAATTTAAGACATGTAGTGCTAAGAAAAGATATTTTAGTGCAGCCAAATTTATTTAATGAGAGAATTGGAAGAAAAACAATTTACGCATTGAATTGCAGTGCTCACTAACCCCAGCTGGTTGAATTAGTAAAAATAAAAACCAACTAGAAAATGTTTAAAAAACTTTTTATCATTCATTGTCTACCTGATTGGAATATTGTTTAAATTCTTTTGTAATTAAGGCCTCAACAGTTGTTCATAATATGCAACACCAGTGATGATTGTTTACTAATTCTAGACATTTACGTTAACATTTATCGATTCTAGAAAAGTTTAGCAATTTTCGGCTAACTTCGTGTCTTTGGATATGTCTTAATTTTTCTTCCTCATCACTGACATATTATGTGATATATAAACATTTGGTCAAAATCATGCACAGTACCATTTTTACTATCCAAATTGCTTTTAATTTTGTAAAAGGAATTTTCTTTCTTCTAAAATTTAATCTGGTTGAGGCATCTAATTATATTAGTTCTTCTTTTTAATTTATATATAATTTTGTTTGTCGGAGGTAAAGGACACCATGTCCATTAGTTTTTAAAATTGAATTGATGCCATAGAGACTTTTCATTCTATCTTGTGCTATAGGACTTTATGCACAAGATAAGTTCTGCCATGATAAATGGCAAAGTTAGGCAGTTTGAAAAAATGCCATGTCCAACTTCCTCTAGAGGAAGATATACCAAAATTCCTCAATTAATTTTAGAGTTTCAATATTACAATGAATGTAGCATTATGTTATCATTGTTTGATATGTTTTTAAAATTTGCTATATAAATTTTTTGTTTTAGATTTCATAATTTTTTTAGATTTCTGGCTTAGGCATAAATTTCACTTCCTTTTCTTTCAATAAACACTTAATGGTTTTTTCTAAGTTTTTCAAATCCAGAAGTATTATAAAAGTTTAAATAATTTTTGAAACTTCTATATTGCAATAATTGCTGCCTTAATTGTTGTTCTTCAATTTGCTTTTAAAATTGGGAAAAGAGAATTATATTTTGCCTGACTGAGTTACATATTTATATTATCATGCTTATTCTGAAGAACTATTAATGCATTTTGAATTAATTTTGAACTAACATAATGAACCGATTAATGCATTTTTTAAAACTGGGAAAAGAGAATTATATTTTGCCTGACTGAGCTATATATTTATATTATCATGCTTATTCTGAAGAACTATTAATGCATTTTGAACTATTAAAGAAATTTTTACATAAAAAAAAACTTAGCTAAAATATTCATCAAGGCTTCTGTAATACAAGAAATAGATGTTATTTTTCAATCATATTTTACAACTTTTTCTATTGATATTTTATGTGTCCCAGTTATATCTTTTCTTCTTTAAGTTGCCGGGAGAATTAATATATCTATTTAAGAATATATAGTAATTTAACTATTTAAGAATATATTATTTTCCCAGCACTGGTAATGAATTTAATGAATTTGGGTTTAATTATTTTATTTCTTTTCAGTTGTCTTTCTTGTAAGTATTAATAAAAATATGTTATTCATTTAAATGAATAAAAGTTTAACAATTGTTTAATTTTTTTGGTTGGATATAAACATTAAAAATATCTAAATTTAATTATGTTAGTTATTTTTCTTCTTCATATGATACTGTTACTAACTCTCAGATGCTGCAATCTATGCTGAATCATGACTTTCCTAACAGTTTAGTTCCAAAACAGTGTGTCTTGTGCTTTAGTTTTCAAATTCCTTATTTTTATGCTCTTGAGGTATTCCTCAATCTTATCCACACCCATCTTCCCCTGTCTTTCCAGTTTTTGTTGATCTTTCAATTGACCTTTAAAATTCTTTTTTGTGTATCAGCCATTATTCATACTCTCCTTACCATTGGATTCATTCTGATTTATTTAGTTAAGTACATCCTTTCCTTCAATGTTTGAATTTCATGCTTTAAATATACTTTACAAATGTTATATAGTTAAAACTAATAGCTATATTATATTTCTGAATTGTATTTAAACTGTGGAGGTAGAGAACATTCAGAAAGCATTCTGTGTCCACATCTGTTGAAGTATTCAAATATACTTTTATAATTAATAGTAAAATTATTGCAAAATCTTCTGATTTAAATGTGCTTATTCTTCTAATTTGTAGGTACTTCAAATGATGCTGCAACCATTGTGGGAAGCCTTTGTTATTCTAGATAGAGTTATGTATTTTAAAGAAAGAAATATCTTTGTTGAAGTATTAGAAATGTGGGACGATTCTGTTTCTCCTAGGAATTTGGCTCTTTGTGCTTACAAAAGATAATATTTATTGTTATTTTTGTTGTATATATGTAAGATTTTATTAATAAATTATATTATACTTTACTTGAGATTCATTATTCTATTTTGCATAGTATAAGATTCGGTAATTGATGTGTTATTCGATACTGTATTACTACAATAAACTAGTTAACATTAGTAAAGAACACAATTTTTTTTATTTATTTAATAACTGGAATTAACAATTATTTTAAGACTACAATTGCTTACCTCCATAGTCTTTAACTTTGAAAACAATTTAGAAGAGTAAGAATAAGCTTACCTTTGTGGAGTTATTTTTAAGTGAAGAATGCAAAGCAATGCATGATGATTATATATTTTTTAATTACACTTTATCATTCATTTATTTTATTTCTATCAGAATTAAAATCTAAATCAAACCAGTTGCAAAATCTATCGGAGGTAGATTAATGTAGTGTGCATCACTTCTGTGCGGCTGAGATTGCCGATCTTTCAGTTTAACCCGTATATAAGAAATCACCTTTTAAATATACTAAAATCTAGGCTAATAGAATAATAAATTTTAAGAAATAAATAGTAAAAACCAGTAAGGTAATATCTAAGTTTTATTATGAAATGTAGCTGATCAAAATGTTCAATGTTGAAAAATTTGTGCCTTGTACGCTGTTAAACTGAATGATTCTTTGTGAAACATGTCTAAAAGCATGAATAAATATGTTGCTTATTATTACTTTCAAATCGTGCAAATTTTTACATTGTGAACTGAATCTGAAGCTGAGTGAGTAATAAATTACTGAACTGCTTACCAAGTTGCAATCAATTACTGAAGGATTTAACTAGCATAAATAAACTTTTATCTTGATTAACTCAAAACTAAAGATTATAGACTTGATCCAAATCTTTGAATCAATCTGATCCAAATTTATAGACTTGATTTAAATCTTTGAACTGTGGGAAGATCAGGAGTGACTAAGTAACCAAGAATGTAAGGCTTTTTTAAAAAAAAGAAATATTTGGATAAGAGTTATTAACCGTTGTTTTGCCACCTTTAGAAAGAAGTAGAATACGTATATTTAAAAGAAATTTGAATATTCTCTCTTTCGTGCTATTAAATTTTTGCCATGAATTGAGATTTAAGGCAAAATTTGATACTATGTTTGTTGTAATAATAAACAGAATAATTGTAATAATAAACAAGCAACAATTTTTTTAAATATTAAACAAATGCTTAAAATAATAAATTATGTCTTATTTTATGTTTATTACATTATACTGTAATTTATGTATGTTACATTACACTGTATTTTATGAATATTACACTATACTGTATTGTGAATATTACATCACTGAATGATTATTACATTATGAATATTACACCACTCCCAAAAGGTTGTTTGTTCTTTCTTTTAAAGTTTGACAGTTGTTCTTACATGAAGAGTCACGTCTATCTACAATAGAGTTTTGCAAGTTATATAAGCAAAATTTGTCTCCAAACTTTTTATTTTTTGATCAATTACTTATTGAAAAAAAAATCTGTAATGAGTAAATACTCAAAATCTTTTTTTTTTGTTGTTGGAAGAAACAACAGAGATATCTTTCTACAACATTTTCTTTCAGAAAAAGTATTAGTTGGTCACCTAATTTCTATTCATTTAAATTATATTTTTTCCTCATCTGACAGGCAGCGTTGTCTCTTAACAATATTTTTCTTGGTAGAAATAACGGGTATGTTCTGTTACCAAACTTTGTTTCTGAAAAAAGTTTCAGTTGGTTTATTTCCATTCTTTTTAACTATTTTCTGCATCTCTTGACAGGCAGGGACTCAAAATATAATTCAATTTTTCCTCTTTTCTTTTGTGTTTACTTAGCATTTGTGTCTATCCTTGCTTAAGAACACTATCTTTCATCTCTTATAACTCCAGAACCATTTGCGCTAGGGTCCTGCAATCAATACTACAAGGAGAAATTTTAACCCCTGCAATCCTAAAATAGCTTAGGGTGCACAGTGGACTTCTGCCCGGGGGGCAGGTGCTCGATCCTCGACTCCGCTAAGACTTACCGAATACTTATATACATGCTCGTAAAATCTGTGGAATCGAAAGTCTTGTGGTTTGTTAGTGAGCAGTACCATGGGTACAGTTATCTGGAGAAAATTTTGTACCCCTTAAGATTTATGTCTAAATTGAGGAAGTGGCCGTAACAAAATTGTGATAGCATGTCCTCGGATCATCCTCAGAGTGTTTCCCTCACCTTCGCCAATAGTCCAGGGATGAGATTCTTCCGCGGATTTCCACTTTTTTTCAGATTTTTCCATTTTTCCCGCTAATTTCCGCTGAAATATTTTTTTGCACAAGTTAAAATATTTTATGAGGAATTTAATTTTCCGCGGATCGAAATTATTGAAGTTCTCATTCCTCCCTCTGAAATTTCTCTAAAAATCAATTCCTTGGGATAAAACTGGTTGACCTTTATACAGGGATGAGATTTTTTTCCCTTTTGTCTCTCGAATTTCAGCCTTTTTATCAAAAACTCCGATTCTCTAAAAGTTTCGTTTTTTTTAAATTTTTTTTTAAAATAAATATCCCGCTTTTTCGTGAAAATTCAGTCGTTGAAGTAAAATAATTATATTTATTTTCGATTTTCAAAGAAAAACAGAAAATTCAAACTACGTCCTAGCTGCTAACCCTTCCGCATTTTTACTTATACTATTAGCTATTTTCTCCGATTTCATGCACAGAAAATAAGATTTTCCGTATTTTTTATCCGTCGGCGGGATAGCTCATATTTTCGTAATTCAGACGTCACTGCCTCTTGTATTCTGGAATGAAAGCAAACAAAAAAAGAGAAAAAAAAAGTAGAGGTGGATTTGCGGTGAAAATATTTATTTGCTCATTCAATTAATCTTGTAAATTTTTATTTATTGTGTAAACAAAAAACAATTCAAACAAGCCTTTTAGAAATCCCAAGTCCAGACTCTGCAAATATCTCGATTTTTATTCACGCGATTTTAATATCAATCATCGATTTTCGTATTTACCTGATTTAAAAGTTGCGCATTGCAATTCTTATTTACGCTTTTTAAATATCGTACATTATGACTCGTATTTACGAGATTTAAAAATCTAATATCGTGTTTTGTATTTTTGCATTTTTAAAATCGCGATTTTATTATCAAACATCGATTTTCGTATTTACCTGATTTAAAAGTTGAACGTTGCGATTCTTATTCAGGCCATTTAAATATTGTACATTGCGATTCTTATTTACGAGATTTAAAAAACCAATATCGCGATTTGTATTTACGAGCTTTTAAAACCTTATGTAACTACGCGAGCTTAAAATCCAATGTCGTGATTCGTTTTTGCGGTTGTAATATCGCGCGATTTTAAAATTATGCATCGTGATCTAAAAATTACGCATCATGATTTGTATTTTCGAATTTTTTAAATTCGATGTAGAGTTTCATATTCTCGTGATTTAAAAACCTCATATCGGGATTTATAATCACATGGTTTTCAAGTTTAAAAATCGCACTTTTTTGTCAAATTTTCGTATATATATATATATTCTAGGATTTCCTCTTTTTTACTTTCTGACTACTCTCATCCCTGCAATAGTCCATTGTGTAGCTCTAGTGCGACGTAAATCAATTACCTACTTACCTATCTAAAAATCGTTTAAAAATTACAATTAGTTCGTTCCGGTGAGATTTTCGAAAAATGAATTTTTCGCGTTTTAGAATTAGTTATTATCTTGTATTGTATTAATTAGTTATTAGAATTAGCTATAGATGATTCTGTTAAGGTAATAGTTGCACGTTCTTTAATATTTAATAATTTTTTTCAAGCTCAGTGATCAACGTGAATATCATGACGATGTCACCGAGTTATTTTCTCTAAAACTAAGTGTTTTATTTTTCTTAATTGTGATTTTCATTTAAATTTTTATAAAACTAAATAATTTAAAATTTGTGGTAATTGATATAAAGAAAAATGAGTTGTGTATTAAAAAGCAAAATCAATCAAATTTAATTCATTAAAGATTAGCCCTTTCATGCAGATGGGACATCCTTTATATATTTTTCTGACGCTCTAATTACTAGCAAAAATATATTCTGGTATTTTGTAAGAAACAATCTAATAGTTATTAAAAAAATCTATTAGACTATCGGAATTATATTTGTACTAAAATATAAAATTCTAAAAAAGTAGTTAAAATTTTTTTCCTTTCATATTTGAAAATTTATCAATTAATTGATTTTGTGAATTAAAGAAATTTCAGTGATGAATAACTGCTCCTCTTAGATCTAAATAACTGCAAATAAGTGAAAATTTGAAAAATTAGTGTTCAGAAATGAGGCGTTTTTGAAAGATTTTTGTTTCGATTAACGTTGAAAAAGACATGGGTGTTTCAGAACCATAAATTATTAAAATGCTAAGCATAATATTTCCCACTTATTTTAACCTAAATTAATTCATAAGTGCTACCTATAGGAATCGAGGTGATATAGTCTCAGTTAATTTTCTAGATAATTAATAATTAATTATCCTGATAATTAATTATTACGACAACTGGATGAAAAGATATAATTTTGAATTATATAGAATCTTTGATGGCGATGATATCATTAAATCTATTAAATTAAGTAGAATGAGATGGGCCGGGCATGTAGTGAGAATGAGCCCAGAACGAACAGCATTGAGAGTCTCTAATGCAACCCCCTCCAATAAAAGGCCAAGAGGAAGGCCCAAAAAGAGATGGAAGGACTGTGTGGATGAGGATTTTGCCATCCTAAAAGTAAAGAACTGGAAAACAATTGCTGGAAGAAGGGCAGAATGGGAAAAGCTTCTGAGGAAGGCCCAGGCTTACAAAGGGCTGTCGTGCCAATGCTGCTGCTGATGATAATTATAAGTTAATTTTTTAGATATTTTCATTATGTTTAAATTTTATCTTAAAATGTGTTGCAAGGCTTAAATGTTTTTTGAGAAAGCAAATAAGTCGTCGGTTTTTGAACAATAATGATGTGAAACAAATCATAATATTTTCATCTGCTTTCTTTAAACACTTTAGTCTTGCAATACAATTAAGAAATTTTATATAAAATGAAAATATTACCTAGAAAATTAACTGAGATTATTTCAACTTGATAGTTTTAAGTTACAAGCAATATTTTATTTCTAACTTTTTCGTGCAAAATCATAGGATTGATGTTGTTTCTTTATTAAATTTTAAAATTATTTTATTTTAAATTTTTGTTGAAGAAATAATGGATGTTTTACTATAACATTGATTTTCAAAAAATATTTTAGCTGAGCACTAATTTATTTCTTCATCGCCCAAAAATCAACGACACATGAGGTCACTCATTGTACTAGGTTTTTACTTAATATTTTTCGTGTTTGTAACGATGGTAGCTTACAATCAAAATATCGACTACGTTCCGACTACGTAGAATTAGTATGCTCAATTCTTAACTAAAATGCAATGTGCACTATTTTCCTAACACATCCTCCATGCGCATATCTTTCAAAAGTGATGTGTTTCTACAGTGTGTTCGTTAGACATGGTTCCCCGTAGATCATCGAAGTCAAGCATCACTGGCTGCAGTCAGGGAGCGGGTAGTTGACCACTTTAATTATTCTGCGAAGAGACCAAGGGTGTGCGGTATTGGTCCTCGTTAAACTGCTCTATTGTAAAATGCTCGACTTTGAATGCAAGGTGCTGGGTTACCTAAGTGGAAGAGCCATCCACTCTACGGATGATCAAGATTATGATGGCGTTTCTCCGGATCATTCTCAAGAAAGTTTCCCTGACCGTCGGCAATAGCTCATTATGCAGCGCTAGCGCGAAGTAGTGAGCCTTGTATAACTCTAAGAAGAGCCGCGATGGCTTAGGGGATAGAGCGTTCGCCTTCCAATGAGGCGGACAGGGTTCGAATCCCAGTCGATATTAATTCCGCATCCAGCTTGCACCGACCACAGTGCTGACGTGAAATATCCTCAGTGGTAGACGGATCATGGGTCAGAGTCCCCTTGCTGTCTGGCTAACCGTGGGAGGTTCTCTTGGTCTTGCTCTCCATGTAACGCAAATGCGGGTTAGCTCCATCAAAAAGTCCTCCACGAAGGTAAATTTCTACCAATACTCGATCGATCCAGGAGTTCCCTTGTCTTCTGGATTGGGTTCAAAATTACAAGGCTACGGAGTCGAACATTAGTAGTCGTAAACCCATAAATTTGGGTCGGCTGTTCAACGACGGTTATAAAATAGCTCTAAGAAGGAAGTTTAATTCAGATTTTCTAAAGCGATATAAATAAAATGTTAAACTTGTGTGCTCCGAGTTTTTCGCGTTTGGTCTGATGAAAGCAAAATTATTTTCTCTCTTTTAGTCCATTTTTTATCCTTTTATTGTTAATATTATTTGAAGAAGAGTCTGAAATAAAACAATTGTTGTTGATCTATCAGTAAGATTGCGAAGTATTGTGGATGAAATTAAAGTTTTGAAATAATTTTAATAGGTGGCAGATCAAGCTCAAAAGTATGGAAATAAATTAATATGTCTCCTCTTCGATGATGTAGCTTGAGGCATTTTGAATTCACTAATTATTATTATTTTTCAATTTTAATCCAAATATTTCTCTAAGAATTTAGAATATAATACATTATTTGAATGGTCCTAGTCACGTAAAAATAAGCAAAAAACTAATCAAAATTTATTTGGTGCTATTTAGATCTGCCCCTTACTAATGCGTTTTAATCCTTAATGCAAACTAGCACACCGAATGTTTTGCTGCAGCCTACAACCATACAAAACATCAACCATACAAAATATTAAAAGCTTCCCGAAATAAAAGTCATTAACCTGAATCTTAAAACTAGAAGTAGCTTATTTTGTATTTTATTAACGGCAATACTGTACAATAAAACTATATGATCAATAATAAGTATTGAGCAAATGAAATGTAAGGGATAAAAATGTCACGGAATCGTTTCTAGTAGCAACAAAATCAATTCCATAAAAAGCAATTTCCGTTGTTTTGCATAATTTATCTTGCTTTGACAACTACCAAACAATAACGATTTGATAAAAAATCTTAGATTCTTTGTCTTTCTCCGTTGCTGACGGTTATAAAGTTCTTGATGATGTGATTATTCAGTAAAAGTAAGCTTTAAAATGCTTATAAAAATTTGAAAAAGTGTAGGAAATTTATTGATTCTGAGTAAGTAAATGCTTTAAACATGTCAACTTTCAAACCAAATGCGAACATTTGAAAAAGATTATTATTGTTTATTTTATTTGTACAAAAACAATCACAGTTTTTCAGTCAAATTCCGAGTCTTGCATTTTTAAAATATTAACTGTGCATTGTTTTAATAATAGTTACTAAAATTTTCGCGTCATTTCCGAAAACAAATTAAAATGTAAAAAAAAAAAAGAAAAAAAGAATTTCGAAAACAGTGAAGAATACTTTCATTGGATTTTTAACACTAAGCAACATTTTTTACGTTATCGGTCTGTAGCCCGTTGCTGCTATAGGATTCAATTAATAAATTGAAGATCCATAATGAATCAAGTATTTCTTTTCTTAAAGTTTAATATTATATTCAAATAAAATTCAGTGTCAAGATAGGCAGTTAAATTTGACAATTTTAATTCCTATTTGAAACTGCACACAGGCTCAAGGGGTGTCAAGGATTCCATTACGATGGTTCAATTTCATGAAGTTTTTCCGAGAAACAGCTGAATCGATAATCGAAATATATTTTTTTTAATTGAATATTTTACTTTTCCAAATTACACTTTGATAGGTTTCCTTTTATTCTTGTTTTAAATCTTGAAAATGTATGTTCTAAAATTAAAAATTTATAATAAACTTTTTGTACAAACTCTACTTTAACTCTGTTTAACTGAACTTTCGTCTAACAGACTACACGTTGTCTTACTCGTTTAATTGACAGTTTTGGAATTTCAAGATCTTACCGTAAAAGTTGAACAACTTCAAATACAGTAAATGTTTAATTTTATCATTTGTCTATTGTTTAATAAAAATTAAAGTGTATTTCTCTTGCATTGCACGCCTATGTTTGGCACAAATAAAGGAAATATAAAAATAAACATGTTTTTAATGCAAGTCTATCAGTAAAATAATTAATTATAAAGTAACACTGTTGTTGTTGTTGTTGTAGTTAATTCATGCAATCACAATTTTGATCATCTGCAGAGGGAATGGCACCCCCGCATCGGTAGCCTGACGACTTGCACGCGAAGTCGAGCACTTTACGGTAGAACAGCTTAACGAGGACCAAAATCGCACACCCTCGGTCACTACGCAGATTGATCCAAGTGGTCACCCACCCGCACACTGACCGTAGCCAGTGATGCTTGACTTCGGGGATTTGCTGGGAAACGTGTCTTAACGATCAGTCCACTGCGGGACAAGTAACAATGATATAAGTTTAGTTATCTCGGGTTAAAGGTAAATAATACGTAATAATAATAAATGTTAATGACCGAAAAGTGTTGTAGTTGAAAAGTTTACTGGTGAAACTATATCTATTTTTAAATTACTTAGAATAATTAACTTCCCTAAATAAAGGCGAAGCAATGATTTTTAATGTGTAGGGAAAATCTCAAATAATTTTCTTCAATCCTTGAACTTTACAAACATGGAAATTTATTATTTTAGAAGTTAATACATTTTTTATTTTCTGAATAGTACATGATTGATATATTCCTGAAATTCAGTTCTGATGTTGTGGTTCATTCAACGAGGGTTTTGAAGACTATGAAGATTTTGATTGCTTTTCTTTTCTTCCTTTTAATCAGTGTTTCGGTAGGTACAGTGTTTTTTTTTTGCACGCATAATTTGAGATAATGTATTTTTAATGACTGTTTTTCCTTTCTACAAATTAATAAAAGCGAAGTAAAAATGTAAAAGTGATTCAATTGCAAAAAACGTTCTTACGTTGTTATATCATTTTAAAATGAGTTTTACTTAGAGTTTTTTCTATTGCAGTTAAAAAAAAAACTTATTATTTTTTTATTATTTCTTTTATTATTTTTTTATTTATTTTTTTATAAATGTTTCGTGTAATAAAATGATATAACAACATAAGAATATCTTTTGCGTTTGAGTCATTTTTACTTCACTTTTATAAATTTACTTTCATGAATGTGATGATGGAATCTTACGACCAGAATTTTGACCACTTTGTTATTTGCTAGAGTTCAGTCTGTTGAAACAGAGGGTCACAGATGTAAATTTGAAAAATCAGGTGGGGCACGCATTTGCCAGAGTATATAGATTAATATAGTCAAAATTATTGATTTTGTTTTGTTTAATTTTGTTAAAAACTGAAATTAAATTTCCAGACAAATGGAAGCTGAGTTTATTTCCAAAAGAAAATTATCAGTCCAAAATTCTATCGCCTTCCGACTGTTTAACACGCTGAGCGCCTCTTTGTGTATTTTTAAGAAAATTCCCGTCGGGCCACGCGCCTGAATGCAAATTTTATATAAAATGCTTGTAATGCAAATTCTAAATAAATTCTTAGTAATTATTTAAAACAATGAATATTTTAGCTTTATGTCATATTTTACACTTACAGTCAACGGCATTTAGTTTTTTTAAGTTAGTAGTTTTCTTAAGGCATTTAGTATTTGTTTTAAATTTTTAAAGAATTGTAAAAATAGCTAGGGGAATAAATATTATCATTTTTAAGGACTGGAAAAAAACTTTTCGCATGAAATCACCCACGGAAAAGAAAAAGGCTTAAGACTTATAAAAAATGAAAATAAATAAATCAATAACGGTGGATTAAATTTTTCCTGAAAACCAAATGATTTATTTACTACACACTTAAAGACTTCAAAAAAATTAAGAAAAAAATTGTGAATTAAATTGTTTTTGCACCAAATGTTTCATTTTTACCACACGTTTAAAGACGTACAAAAATTAAAAAAAAAAAAAAAAAGTAAANAAAAAAAAAAAAAAAAAAAAAAAAAAAAAAAAAAAAAGTAAAGTAAGAAATGAAAGTCGGATCGAGCTGTTTAGAAAATAAACGTTTACTACACAATTAAAGAATTTTGTTATGACTCTATTTGGCTTTTTTATGTTCTTTAATGTATCTTTTGTATGTTCTTTTATATATCTGATTTATGTCTGCTTCACAATTCAGGCCTATGATTATCAGACATGCTTTAATAGAACGGATTGTGAAACTAATGAATGTTGTATTGTAATGCTTGGCTCAGAACAAGGAGCATGTTATCACCTTGGAAAAAAAGGTAAGATGTTAGAATATAATCAAACGAAAGATTTAATATATATATATATATATATATCTGCAGCCTACAACCATACAAA